CCCGGCCCGCTCGGTGTACTCCCGCGACGCGCTGTAAGGGAATAATCTTGACTCGCCGCGAAAGCCGCAGCGCGCCGACAACTGCCGGCAACGACCGTCGGCGACCCAGCTCACGTTCACAGACGTTGCATCCCGTTCGCGTAAAGGAATTTCGATATACTGAATTCGCGTGACGCGTGAGGCGGACTTAAGATCCACGGGCGAGAGCGCCGGGATGAAGTCGCCCTCGACGCGATGGAAATCTTGTTTGTATATCGCGATAACGGCGACTGTTGTTTTATCGCGAAGGTGTACGAAGCTGTTTAAATTTTAATTGCCTCTAGTTTGCGCTTAGGAATATACATAGTTTGTAAACAGCGACAATAAGAATCTTTCGCAATATCGTGTGCGTGCGAATGTTTGCGCTCGGCTAACTAGCTGAAACTACGATTAAATTCGGACATCTAAAATGAGCGCCTGTAAAGCGCACGTAAATGGAAACATTCAAGTGCAAACACGCGACACTTCGGCTTCAGGCTTTAATAATTTTCAGTTTTGTAACGGAAAGAGTGAAAAACAAAAAACAAATCTCGACTGGCTATATTTATTTTATCGTTATTCTATATACGTCTTTACTACAATCAATATTGGAAATTTTCATTCACGTTTATTATCCAAACGAGAAAAAAAACCATGGAATACGAATTATTAAATTGCGGTCGATGATAGAAGTCTAACAATAGCGATGAAAAAAAGCGCAATCACGACTGTCATTAATAGCGATTACATTAGTAAGAACGTTTGCATAAGCGCGGGCGAATTAGCTGTTCCAAAAATATTTAAACACGTCGATAATTGCTCGTTGATATATTAAGATAAAAGCTTGACACGGCGCGATGGCGTAACGTCGATATCCGGATAGAAAGGATTAAAACGCGGCACCATGTGAAATACGTTTACTATCTTGTTACAACGTCAATCAAATCGCAACGGCAATAAATCATCAGCATACCATATCCCTCGGATCAAACACCGAAAACTCCGTGCCGTGCTGATAGCGCGTACAGATAGGCGTTACACAATATTATCTTCCGGTAAACGTAATAAATTTTCGTAACGCCGGCAGGTATTTTATATGCGAAATATTTATCGCGCGTCGAGATCCGAAATTAAATCGTTCGGGCGGCATCGGGCGGAGGCGGATGCTATAAAGGAACAGCGCGGCCGATCGTTGTCGATGAGGACTCGGCAAAATCGAGCGGATATCGTTTGAATAGAGTGTACTCGGTCCTATTCGCCCCCCTTAAATTCACCATCCTTTCGCCGTCGTCGCCGTCGTCGTCACCGTCGTCGTCGTCGTCGTCGTCGTTTCTGGCTTCCGTCTAGCGTACGTCGCGCGAGCTCTTATTAAAGGTGGCGATTTATCGCTAGTAATAACGGTGCGGTCTGGTGCTGCTTGGCGGTGAATGTCTCCCAAGGTTCCCGGGAAGAGCAAGAGCTCGTAGCGCGAGACGGAAGAGGTCAGGGGGGCAGAAACTGGAAAGTAAGGGTTTATTCGCAGTAACCCCGTCCGCGCGCGCTCAACTCCGGCGGACATCTCCGTTGGGTGGCGGTGTGTGTGTTATCTAGCGTACGTCGAGCGTGTGTACGCGCGCGCGAGCAAACGCGCTCGCGCCGGGGTAGATTAACAATTCCTGACATTTTAGTGGCGCTCCGGATGCGTTAACGCCACTTCAAGTACCGGAGTGCTCGACCGTAACGAGCTCCAGGATTGATTAACCGCCCCTGTCGAGCGACCCGCAACTACGGGCTCTACGTGCTTCTCTAAGCAAACGAGACGACGGCCCGACGAAAGATCCTCGGAACTTATAATTACCGCTTGATTAATTGCCATTTTGACAGATAACTCGGAAACGGAGAGAATTTTTCACCGACTCGTCCTCGTTGCACTCGGGCGGGCCTGCCGTGTGCATCGATCAATCTTCCTAAAATATTGTACTATGTAAATTAGTTGGCATCCGCTGACTTTTCGGACAACTGGATGAATCGGTAGCTACTATTTACGTTGAAATCGGGATAATAGAAAGCATTCATCGAACAAGAATGCGGCCTTGCGCGAAGCATACGTGGCTTTCCGCTATTTCAAACTTCACTTCTAAATTTCGCCAATATTCGACAAATTTAACTAGCTTTATACAGTAAAATTAGTTTTTACGTTAGAAAAATGAACACGCATGTTGAAAATAAAATGCGAAAGCTGCTCGAAGACTTTGTAAGAAAAGTCTAAAACAATCGAAGCGGATATTCAGATTACGCGAGATATTTATTTATACAGAGATATTAATAGTAATTTCCGACAGATATTAATGGTGAGTTTCGAATAGAATGTTTTAAAAAAGATCTGGATTGGTCAGCGCGATGTTAAACGTGACAGACAACGGCAGGTGCTTTCCCACGTCGGTAGTGATCGAACGATGGATCGGTCGGTCGGGTTAGAACTGCGCATACACATCGATAGAAGGAACAGGTCACCTGCTCAAGGGGTTACGAAGACGAATAAGCATTATTCATATCGTGAACGCTTATCCTTAAGTTATTCATCTCATGAATTAGTAAACACGATGAAGAGAGAAGCTTTGGCTCGCATTGGCCCATCTCAAGAAGGCGCACTAGAATATCAAGTCGAAACGATACTCTTCGTGTTTCGTTATCAATAGGCAGCAAGTTTAAGATCAATAAATTCCAAGTACACAATTAGTATTTTGACAGCAGTTCGATAAATATCTTATCGCGCGATTTGGCATATTTTTTGAACTTCAATAAATGATTATTAAAATACTAAATTATACGCTTGATCTAAATTCTCTAATTATTCGAGATGACTGTGCGATATACCGCGTATATTAAAAAGAAATTTAATAAAATTTGTGTGTAATACGCATTTCGCTCCCCTCGATCTTTCGTATTTCCTCCTAATAAAATTTTCGAAGAATTTCCGAAGGTAAAAGGGTCTCAATATTCCCTCATCGCCGGAACCGCGCACCTTTTATCGCGGTTGCCGGTGATATTTAAAGGAAAGAGGAAATGATTTAGCGAAGAGCGATGGTTACCACTCGCTTCTCGTCAACAGCATCGTCGAAGCGAGCGCGACGCTATAGGCTGGAAATAGATTAGAAACGTAATATTTCAACCGTCGTAAATATTCCCCGCCGCAGCGTGTGGCGGTGTGGTGCTCCTTCCATGCGGTCGTCGTCGTTCTTTTTCCGTCGTCTTCTGTCCGTCTCGCACCGACTGGCAGTTGCGACGTCGCGATCTAATTGGGATAAGAAGAATTTTTGTACCGGGTGGCCCTTAATTGGTCGCCCCATCATTAAGGGTGGTCCGCGGCTCTAATTATCATAGCGTAAATCTTGACGCTTCGAGCGATGGCATTCTCAGCTTGTCCCGAACTTCGCTATATCGTCGAGCTTGGCGAATGGGAGAGTTCATGAATTACACGCATTTTATATTTGCATAAATATAAAATTCTACTTTATTAAATGAATAGAAATAATTGTACATATAATGAATACGGTTATATGTTAAATTTATTACACGTAGGGTGCAACTCAGAGCTGGCAAAATTGTTGCCCGTATAAGGCAATAAAACTCTGATACTGATAATATCTTGCAAAGCATATTTTTAACCGCAGTTTGTTCCGGATACGTACTGCAAGATACTAGCAATATACAAATATTAAACATATGTATATATACTTGTCTACAATATAAATTGATAATTAAATATTACATCTGCGAAATTAATTTTATCAAAAACGTTAGACAATGATGTCGAACATACAAAAAATATGAATTATATAAATATGACACAATTATATAAAAATTACACATTAAAAAAGTATTGGCACATATACTTTTTTTATAACAAATCATTGGAACGTATTTACGCAATTTGTGGAATATTTTTCGTCTACGCGGTAGACAACATTATTTTATATAAAAACATAATGCCCTGCTGGGATTTTTTAATAACTATGAAAATCATTTGGGATTAAGTCTTTGTTTCTTGTTGTTGCGGCTGTTGCTGCTGTTGGTCGTCGGCTTCCCAGTTTTCGACATCTGGTACCGGATAATTCCATTGTTGAATTTTGCCCGATCCGAAAGTCGCAAATATGAGGAAAGCGAGAATCTGGGCGACGATAGTAATCCAGAACGAGACTCTCCAACGCGCCATAGTATGCTGTGAAAAGCAAGCTTATGTGAATGTTACTCTACTGGTTAAATTGAATGCCAACATTGTGAAGATTATTTTCGTTTATATTTAAAAAATATGCTGTGAAATTTAATCGCAATTTTTCGGAATTACGAGCGCGTAATGTAATATGAAAAATCTAGTAAGATCTGAATATTGCAATAAAGTTAACTTTACAGTTTGTTATACAAACTTTGCAGTTGATTATACAATTAGGATTCAATGTCCCATAAAAAAGATTTCAGTTTAATTTTTTTATCGCGTTAAAGCTGTTCCATTTTTCATAAAACTTCAGAAAAGTGCATAACTTGTTTAAAAATTCAGGAAATCGACGATTAAGTCAAGTTGTTCTTAGCGGATACTTTCAGTTTGCATTAATATTAGCATTAAAAATGTGTTCACTTACCCCTTCGGCTACGAGCGCGCCGACTATTGGTGGCAAGATAAAGGCAGAAATAGTGCCCGGAGTATTTGTGATACCCATGAGAATCCCCGCGTAATTTGGAGCCAGATCGTTCTGATTACAAAGATGACCAACGAATATAGCACCGCAGACCACTATACTGAGAGTTAGCAGCACGGTCGATGTAACGCGATCGCAACCAATGTACGCAATTATAACAAGAAATATGCTAGGTGGCACGGTACCTGAAAGAGAGGAAAATCTGTTTACCTCGGATCTTATGTAACTCATATCTAATGCCTATATCAGGCATTACCTCGGATCTTATGTAACTATATCAGGCATTATTTATTTTTATCATAAAATTAAATCTCTCGCGCGTTTCTTTGCATTGAATACAAAATACAAATTTTCATGATGTGATGCATAAAATAAAATAGAAAAATTAACAGGATGCTCCGTAATACGATATAAACACTACACGAGGATTTTAAACATTGTTAGTTAAACATTGTCGTTGAGACATTATATCAGAAAAAAATATTTTACAGCCACGTGCATTATATTTGTTATCATGGTCAAACGTACAGTCACGCAAAAATTTGCAAACAATACCTTATCTTTATTCAATAAATATGTAAATGTATGAATTCAAGCAGTTTTAAATTGTGTCATTATATCCGCTAAGGTTACGAACTGCCAAAGTTAAAATAAGAAATGCTTTTCTTTTAATTATATTAATTAATTAAGAAAAATATATATTAATCAAAGGAATAACATGCAATTGTCATTCAAAATTACGCAATATTTTGATGAGAGAAACATTTGAAAAAATTATGTTTCTGTTTTTTTATTACATACATCTTTGATGTGCGAATAGACGAATTTAATGAATTCCATTGCAAATACGTACTTATGAAGACTGCAATTTTACGAGCACCTGTCTGCGACCAGTGTCCCTTTTGCCGTCCCCAATCTAAGACTTTTCCGATTAGCGGATTAATGATAGCGTTTACGAGATACGGCGTGCAAACAATAGCGGCATTCTGTGAAATAGATCGAGAACAATTTACAAAGTTCTGCTGGGTAAACAAAATCATTTTATGCAAAATATAAAATAATTACAATAGAAAGACAAAGATCGGGAGACAAAACATGATGTCAGCGGCTTATTACAATAAGCTTCGGACTCTATAATAAAGAAATATTCTTTATTATAGAGTCCGAAGTACAGTTGTCCGAAGTACGCCTAACAATTAAGATGATAAATCTCATATCTGACACGCACAATCTTGCAGTATTTGACTTCAATTGATACGAATAAACTGGACAGTTATTAAATTTTGTACTGAAGATGGTCAGAAGTTGACCGAAATGTTTACGTATTGATGTAATAATAAAGAAGATTGTAACAAGCTGTTGACATCCTGCTTGGACTCTCGATCCTTGTCTTTCCATTCTAACTCTTCCTAATAAGAGCTTATATACACATTCAAAATATAAAATGTTAAAGTATTTACTAGATCTGATAACATAACACAACTTTCATTAAAACGCGTAGCAATTTGTGTCTGCGATGCGTATAAAATAAGTTCTACATATTCTTATTACAAACTTACCACTCTGATGTCATATCGCAATATCTTGTTCATGTAAAGCGGCAGCTGCGTGAGCAAAAAGTACCAGCAAAAATTGCCGAGAGTATTGGTGGCGACCAGAGCCAGAAATGGCACCGACGTGAATATACTTTTCCATGGTACTTTCGTTTTCGAGGAGCCGGGCGGTCGATGACCGTACGAGGTCACAATGAGCGTTCTCTCCTGCTCTGTTATGTACTTCTGCTCCTCCGGACAGTCGGCGAAAAATATGTAGAAGACTACACACCAGATCAACGGTAATGTCCCATGAATGTAAAAAATAGCCTCCCAGCCTACGTAATTTAATATCATTCCAGAGCTGAGAATAGATATCACGGTTCCGAGCGACGTTCCGGCATATATGATGCCGACCCACAAACTTTTCTCCTCGTACACAACCCATTTGCCCAGAATAACGTTCACTATAGGTAGATTCGCCGCGCTCATGAGACCGGTAAAAAATCTCACAGTGTACAGTAGGGACAACGAGCCCGCTGCAATCGGCACTAACATAGTTAAGACTCCGTTCGCCAGTACGCAGGTTAGCAACACCATCTTCGTGTTGAATCTATATTGAGAAATAATAGATTTCTATAGATTATAATACGAAAAATATGTGAGTGGAAAAAAATAAGCGAATCTAGCCGTCGACCACTTACCGGTCCGCCAGGTAGCCCGACGGAAACATCCCGACCAGATATCCCGCGAAGTATATGCTAATAACCAGACCTTGCTCGCCTGCCGACCAATCGAACGGACCGTCAATATCGGCGCCTTCAGGCGCTTCGAATTCTGGACATTCGTCCGACCAGTCCTGTTCACCTGGTTTCCTTTTTACCATGCCAACGATAGCCGTCGCGATATTCACTTTCAGACCGTAAATAATCATGTTCGCAATGCATAGCATTATGGCGAACAAATACCGCACGCGTATCTCTAAATGTATCATGGATTGCAAAAACAGAAATGTTAAAATAAGCAAAAAAGTTATTAACGTGATTTTCATTGTACGCAGACATCAATTTGTAGATATTATATGTTACATCTAATTATTAGTAGCAACTTGTAATTAGTGGAATTTTTTTACATATCTATTTTTGTCTGATAACATTTTCCTTAATAATATTATCAACAATACATTCTTGAGAATGCATTCTTGCTCTTTTCATGAATTAAATAAATTGATGAAGTTTGCTTTAAGGAATTAGTCAGTTTGGTTTTTGAATGACTTACATCGTGCTCATATCATATCGGTATTGCAATAGCATAGAGATAAGAGGATTGTTATATATAGTGAACAGACATTATTTCGATTATTACTCGAAAAGCCATGGTAACAGATATGTAAAATAACATGCGCTAAAAACACAGAGTACAGTTCGTTTGTTTAATCTATGTTAACCTAATAAATTACAATTTGCTAATAATTATGTGTCAAAATGCATCACAAAACAGTAATCAACGCACTTGGGTGTCGGTTTCTACAAAATATGAATTTGTCAAAACATGTAAATAATGAATATGCATTTTTCTACATTAATCATAAACCATAGCCGCTAGTAATGCGAAAAAAATTGATGTCTGCGTACATTTCTGTATTATAGTTTAAACTAGATGTTTTGCGCAAACAACATCGAATATTTAGAGAGAATAACAGTGCAGTAATAATAAAGCGATAAAATTTATCTCCGTACGATTGTACACTTCGCGAATTGAACATTAACAAATTTAATATAATTCTTCAAAGTTGCATCAATATCAGTAAGATAAGAAGTGTATAGTTTCTTACCCATAGTTGTGAATATTTAACAAGACCTTGGTTAATGAGTCGATGACATCGATGATCATTACGTTTCGAATCGTCGCGCCAAACTGACTTTTTTGCTTGTTTTCGTATCGATACGATCAGCACTTGGTTTCGCTCGATTCAACACTCTCACGTTCAACAGCTCGATGACGACTATCGAATTATATCGCTGGACGACGAGACGGCATCCAGACTCCTCCTCCACGAATATCTTTTCAGACTTGTGTGCCGTGCATTCCTATCGAAGAGATTATGGTTCACCAGTGAGAAACGCGTCGATAATTTGCAAAGCGAAAAACGTTATGAGACCTCAGTGTCGCTAATAAATACGTCATACATACATAACACTGCCGACGATAACAGAATACGCGTAAATATGCATGATGATCGTACGTTAGAGCTAAGCAACTTCGAAACAATATAAACGATGTTTCGTACTAAAGATAGATATTTTGTGGTTATTTTTCCATACGTTGCAGATAATAAATATGTCGGATGACAATTTAATTTGTTTTAAATGTCATATTTAGCCATTCAATATTGATTTTGATGGCAATTTTAATGCCAGCTGTGTTTGCTAAGTACATACTTAAGCGAGATAATAAGAATTTTTATTCTTACCAAAGTTTCTCCCGTTGGAATTCAGTACTCTTCGTAGGTCGAAGTTTTCAAAATTTTGGAAAATATTATCACATATACGTGTTCTTATATTTTCTTAGCATGCCGTATCAATGTACAAAGTCCAAATTAAGAAACTGACATTGCGATATTGAAACTTGTTTATCATATATCGTCAAGACACAGTATTCTGTTATTGTCAATTATTTCATTTATTTCAATTATTTCATTTAAAAATTCTGTATTTAATGTTTTTGCTCAAAGTTTTCTTTAAATTAATGAAAACAATCTGTAGAAGATAGGCGTTAAGACACGCTATATAAGTGGTTTTCTGTAAATATAATTTTTCAAATGACCAATACGCACAGTGACAAGCAGGCGATAAAAAGCGGATAACGTACGCACGCTAGATAAAATTGTTGTGAATGACGCGTGTGTTGCTGTGAACGATAAACTAGCGGAACTAGATATAACCGAACGTGTGAGCAACGCTGCAAAAGGCGATTCGACACGAGTCGAACGACGGCCACACGGTTACTAACTGTGGAAGCGGATGCGTTTTAACTTTCAGTAATTCACGTAAGTGGCGATTCCACAATACGAACAACACCGCCTTGTATTTGCCACGTCATTATGTGGAATCGTTTTAAGCGGTGTCTTTTATATCAGTTCTGTTACAATGCTGCATGTATACTTGCTATGCATTACGCAGCACTGCTTCATGCAATTAAAACGATCGTATAAAAATGTATAAATAAGCAAATCTTATCGAGTTCACTATACTAAGAACGGCAGGTTAATAATCCAAGTTAATGTATAATTTAATGCAATCGCTGCATGCATTCTAATCGTTTAACTCGTTTGCAATTTAACTCACTTCAATGCCGACCGTAATCGATTACTCTTCTGTCAGCGAACAAAATTCCTCGAAAACAGTGCTCCGACGAAACACCAGCAGTCACACCAGTCTCACGCTTGGCTGAAATCATTTTGTGAAACCGGTCTTCGCCGCAGCCGACGCATTCATGATGCCGCGCTCGTCGTGCGTTAATTAAAGCCAACTGTGTCTGTTTTGATTATACAAACACCGACAGTTTCGTCTACGCTAGCGTCAGTCCGGCGATAAAGTCTTACTCGCGCGATATACTCAACACGCGTATTCCTCTACCCGCGTACTTATCAACCAATCATACGAGATGTAATCATTTCTCTCGTCGCAGTACGGTGGCATGTGGCGATAGCATTCTTAACAGATACGCGTCGGCGAGATGCCGCTTAATGTTTACGAGCTGAAGATAATGGGGTCTCCCTGGTGAGCCCGTGTCCAAACGGATGAGAAACGCTTCGGAGCGTAGCCTGAGACTCCCCGCCGATCACGGCCACGGTCTCGGATATCTATACATTCTACGTACAGTGACGCCCACCGAATAATATTCACCATGCACGCGTCATCTTTTTCTGTCACCTAATCGCAGATAAACTAAGCAGATTATACATAGTAATATATTGTTAGAATTTATTTTCTATATATCATGTAACATACGTTACGTTTAGTGGAGATAAAAAAATACTTGGCATTTATAAAAACAGCATATTTTTCTCCTAATGCGGAATTTATACGAATATTTCGAGAAAATGATGACTGTGCTACTTTCAGTGATTAATCATTCAGAATATTTATAGCAACACTTATCAAGTCAAGATGCGTGGAATAATTTATCAGACGAATTGGTATCTTGATTGGTACTTGTCGCGAAGAGTGCATATTTTTCATAATACTAAATACGTAATACTAAATAGATTCAATAAATCGATAGTATAATACAATTGACACATGATTTGATTTGAAGAGATTTATCAGAGTAATCAAAATCTTTATTGGGATTTATCGTAAAAAATTAATATTTTAATACTAAGTAAGTGCAGCGAATTGATAGTATCATATTATCGATAAATAATCTGATTTGTAGAAATTTATCAAACGAATTGGTATTTTGATCAATGCTTATTATAAAAAGTAAATATTTTACGTAACACTAAGTAGGTACATTTAAATTGATAATATAATATAATTGAAAAATAATCTGATTTGCAGAGATTTATTTATTTTATCACGAAAGGTCTTACACAAGCTCTGTATTATCTACATCATTCTATGCATATTAAATTCACATTAGCGTGTAGTAATTGACGTGAATACATATGATAAATAATATATAATGATAGTAGTAATTTCTATTATATTATATTCTTATTAATAAGAATAATTTATATTTATAGATAACGTAAACATGAATACATATTATTTGTTAATTATGTTAATTATTTGTTAAAATTAATTTTCCATCAATAAGTCAAGAATTGAATTATTTTATATATTTTATTATATACATGTGTGTGTGAAAGATTAGAGATTGATAAAATTGAGGTTACTGAAATAAAAAGCACAGTAATTTTTATGACACACATTGCATCGTGGTTCAATCAATGACATCGCGATAACGCTTTTACGTAACGCACTTGCGTAATACATTAGTGTCACAAATGAGGCTCGCATAGGAAATCTTTCACAGGTTAGATTTTTACATAATATGTAGAATACTTTATTCAAGGCAGTGTGTAAGAGAGTCTTTAGCATAACAACAACATACCACGTCATACTTTGTATTTTCTTTTCGGCGCGAACCGCATACGCTTTCTGCATCGCTCGTCGCCCGATGGGCAGTGGCGAACACGGCAGAGCGCGCGGTGGACAATAACGACGCGACTGGCCATCACAATATTTTCACCCGACCCGCGGTCTCTTTCGTGCGGTAAGCGTGTGACAAGCGTGACGAAACGTTCGTAGAAACGAGAAGCGCACGGGGACGGAAGTGGTTGCTGCGGTAGTTTCGTGACGACGACGATGACGCCAACAACGACGACGACGAAGCTTGGAGACGCACGAGTTGCTATCATCCTCGCGTTTCCTCTGGGCTTATTCGGCCCAGCGCACACCTGCATTCGTGCCCGAGGTGAATGCTCGCGCCGCATACCTGCTAGAGGAATATGATGGCAGGTTGACGAGGCGGGAAAGGGACGCGGGGGAATCCACTCGAGAAAACGCAAAGCTTCACACACCGGTAAAAATGGATACGTCGCCGTTCTCGAGAGGGAGACGGAGGACAGATAGAACGGGGAGAGAAGCGACGAGAAGGGACGAAAAAAAAAAAAAGATCGGAAGACGCACTCGAAACGGAGAGGCATGTCTGCCTGTATGACATTTCGCGTCGATTAAAGAGGGTCGCTGACTCTTGGGTGCGACGGAGCAATGACGATCGTCGCGGTGGTCGCGATTAGAGACCGCGCTCGAAAATCTCAAAATGGAACCACGAAAGATTCGGACAGGACGTTCCAGCTACCGGCCGGTTCGTATCCTTCGAGCGTTTCGGACGCCTGCTGACTTTGTCCACAATGTAAACACGCAGTGCGCAATCCTCGAACCGCTGCCACTCGAGACAGACCCATTGAAGATTCCTCACTGGCCAAATACCAATTAGCTGTAGGGTTAAGGCAGGCTGCCCGCGCTAACGAGCGCGATGCCCTCTTAATGCCTTCTTCAATTTTCGTTCGCTATTCGGACCACCTACCAGGAAAAGAAATGTCGAAACGGGACGCCGGTAGCCGTTTTGGTTGACATGTTATTTGTCGCAACAAGTTCCTCAAAAGTTGCGTGACTGAAATTTGCTGATCAACTCGCGAAGTGAAGATAACGTTACGCACAAAATATACAAAGAATTAAATAAACATTCGTTCTTTATTGTTAAAGCATTGCAAAATAAAATAAAGTAACAAAGTCCCAACGGAAAATTGCTTTGGAGTAGATTTTTAGATATTAGAAAAATATCAAAACTGTACGAAAATTTTTCTGCACTGTTATAGCTATTTTGTTTTGTTATAACGCGATAAATAATGAAAGATCAGATTTGAAAAAAACTGTCAATGTTTTTAATATCTCAGATGTTAGCAGTGTTTAACAGTTGACAATTTTGCTCACTGGAATACTAATTACTTTTCAATCCAAATTTACGGGAATTATTCCGTAAAGAATCGCTCATAAATATCTGAGACTAATTTGCAAATCAGAGGAAACGATTCTCCAAACAAGGATACGAGTTTGAAGCAGCGAGGCGGGCCAAAGGTAATGCATCACTTCGTGTGTTATCTTCCACGAAGTCTCTGCCGTGCAAAACGCGCGCGCATTTTCCGCGTTGCATTTAAATGAAACAGACAGTTTCCATCGCGCTCAGACGCACGCAGGGGAGCGCGCCCGTGGAGCGTACGCGCGCGCATGCGGCATACATTGCCCCGTGAGATAAAAAAAAAAAAGGAAAATACACACAGGAGACGAAGAGGTGATATATGCGGGCATTAGTTATACACGAGATGTATGAGGTTTTGCGGCGTCACTCTGCCACTGTCAGATTCCGGCGCGGTGCTCCTCCCGACATAATCGGGACGACCCATATTTCCCCGCCGCAATGCGTCAAGTCCCCCTCGTGCGATTCCCCGTTTCGTACCTTCATTTTTCACTCCCGCTCGTGATCTCCCGCGCCCAAATTCACCTTCCATGTCGTCGCGAGCGTCTACCGTTCCTCCATCCTCGCCGTATCTTCGCGACGGCCTCTCCATCTCTCTTCCCGCCCCGCGGCACGACCCGCCGGCGTCGCGACGATTGTACATCGCTTCCGGTAAAATCATCCGTAGAATACGGGAGTCCCCCGATCGGGACGAATCGATTCGCGAAATGCCGCTGGCACGAGGTGAACGGCAGTCAAAGCGCCATGGCAAATATTGGCCGACTATTTTCTATCTATTTTCTATTTTGATGCTCCCGGAACGCGCTCGTACTTTAATAAGCGAGCCGATGCGTGAAGCGGTGAAATTGAAATTGACGGTCATTCCCTAAATTTTTCTATGAAAAGAAAAAATTAATTGTTCAAAAAAAATTTCTATTAAATTTAAATTAAATTCCAATCGTTGCTTTCAAATTTTCCTTAAAATTATCCGAATATGACTATTTATATAAAATGAATTATTATAAAATAATATGTTACTATTATATTTCTGGGGTCGCACGACTCTGCGATGCTGTGTCAGTGCCGCGAATGTGCATACATGCTATAATCAAAGTTGTTGGAAGAGTATTGGATTATGCGAGAGGAAGAGAGCGCGCCGGAAAGAGCTATCCTGATGAAGACCGTCAATATCGATTTTTCGTTAGGGAATGAAAAATGCAGCCGTTGCTTCGTAAAATATGTGCACTTTATCTTACGCGCTCGGGAATGTATGCGTCACGACATTACGGAGACGATGGCGCTATTGAACGACCATAAAACGTTTGTTTGTTCGGCAAGTTTACACAGCTTTCATAGTTAACGGCAGCCCGACGTCGTCGACCGACTGTCACTGAATGAAATGCTAACGATGATGGATGATCGAGGATCTCTTTCTTCCGTTTGATCTGTAGGGGAAAAAAAGGGACGTCGGTAATTTGTACGCAGTAGCTGAGTTATCGAGAAGCTGCACAGTTTTTTTTAGATTGTATTTAAAATACTCCGTAATTAAACGTGACTTTGACATCTAAATCTCTTACATCATAAAAAACGTTATTATTCGTATGCGACGAA